GGTCTCACACCTATTGCGGAAATCATCGACGATATCGCCATCGACGCGCCAAAGGCCATGAGTATATACGTCAAGGTTGTGAAGAGCGCTCAACTCTCTGAGGAGCAGAGGACGAGGCTTTCCTCCAAGTCGCTGGACGGCGACCAACTTTTTGCTCTGTTATCATAGTCCCTGTCCTAACAGTCCCGTACATCTATGTCTGCTCGCTCATCCCTCGTACATATATTCCAGTTTTTTTTTTGGCATTTCTCTTTCTTCATGACGCACCCACGTTCGCTTGTATTCAGTACTCCCCCGTTTTAGCCCTTGGTGGTGGTACGCAAGTCCCATGTCGGAAAAAATATTTAACATCTCAGGAATTATAAACGCTGAATGAGCCTGACTCAAGATACAGGCCCATTATTTGTCAGCGCCATATGAGCGTCTACGAATTGATAAGGACCTATGTCGACTTGTGGGCTTGTCCTGCAAGCATTGATGATGTAACGGTAACATCGGGTCTTCCCATCCTCTACGGATCTGCTTGGCCCGTCCCCGGGTTCGACTCCCGGTCAATGCACTTTGTTGCTCTACTTCTCTCTTTTGTTCCTTCGATAATGCAGCACTCAAGCTTTAGTGATTACTGAAACGGCGATTCCAGATGGTGCAAGAGATGTTCATCGTAATACATTTTCATCCATCTACTTTATTTTCGTACGATCTAACCCTCCATCATCTCCTCGGGCGGCGCGCTCTGCTCCTGCTCCTTTTCTTTCCGCACAGCCTGTACGACATCGTCCACCCGGAGAAGCATGCGTGCTGCCTGGAAGGTAAAAGAAGATGCCACTCAGTCAGAGGACATAAGGAACAGATGTGGGAATGAATCTTACCTCGATGGCGGTTTTAAGAGTTTGGATCTGGTTTGACGAGTTTATAAGCAAGCGTGAAAACGAGTAGATGAATAAAAGAGCGCAGACCTTGACGCTGGCAGACTCATATAGGCCATACGTCTTCATGTCCACAATCTTGCCTGTCTCACCGTTCACGCCCCAAGAGTTTTCTCCGTTTGCGTGCTTTGCCTATAATGAAACGAAAACCACTCAGTCATGCTGTCAGATCCATAGTTTCGCGTTCAGCTACGTACCCTGAGCTCCGTGAGCACGCGAATCGCGTTCCCACCACTGTTCTGCACGAGCGTGCGGGGGATGACTTCCATTGCGTCAGCGACGGCCCTGAATGGCCACCCTTCAACGCCAACGATAGTGCGTGCCTTTTGGTGGAGCCCGACGCTCACCGCCATCTCGGTCGCACCACCACCTGGCGCGAGAGTCGGGTTGAACATGACGTTACGTGCCACGGACATGGCGTCCGCGAGGTTCCGGTCGATCTCGTTCAGGATATCCTTGGAGGGACCGCGGAGCAGGATGGTGCATGCTTTGGGAGAGTCGCATTCCGTGAGGAAGGAGAAGTACCTGTGGGGGGTTAGTAGTGTCTTTAGGGAGATAGAAGGCAACGAACTCGTCTCCGATTTTCTCGATGTTGAAGAGCCCACATTTGGTACCGACATCGGAATCGCGCAGGTCCTCCACGCGGTTGACGATGGTGGCCCCGACTGCGAGCGCGATACGGTTGTTGTCCGACTTGCGCACCCGTCGCAGCACCGAGACATTGTACTTTTCGAACAGGTGCTGTGCAAGGTCTGCCCACGTGTGAGTAAGGGGTATTGTATACAGAGGTTTATCGAAACACACCCGAAACACCCTTCTCGGTGATGACGAGATCGGGCTTGAACTCGAGGATACGCGTGACCTGCGCCTTGACCTGCTCCTCCTCGATCGTCTGTGCGCGTTCCCAGTCTCCCTCCTTCGAGATCTCCATGTTCGTCTGACTCTCGCCCTTCTTGTATTCGAGCGGGCAGTCCAACAGAATGATGCGCGGGTTCTTTATCCGGCGACGCATGTTCGGGTGGGTAATGTCCTTGTTCAGCATCACGCCGCTCAGCACCCGGCTCTGCTCGATCTCGCCTCCCGGGATCTTCTCGACGCGGGCATAGCGCTTGATGTCTACTGTCTTCAACCCGTTCTCCTCGTGGGCGACGACGCGCACCGCCTGTAGCGCGAGCTTGCACATAAGGTCGGACCAGCGGACAGAGAACTTGGTACCGATAGAAGTTTTGATCACCGAGAGCATCTCGTCGTCGTCGGCAGTGTTGATGGGGATCGATATCCGTTGGATGATCTCCAGCGCCTCCTTGAGTGCTTTGTTGTACGCCGAAATAATCACGACAGGGTGGATGTCACGCTCGAGTTGCGATAGAGATTGCGCGAGGATTTCTCCGGCTAGGATTAAATGAGAAAAAACATAATCCTAGACGTAAAAGACACTACGCACCAAGGATGATAACCGTCGTCGTGCCGTCACCACACTCCTCATCCTGCGTCCTACTGAGCTCGATCATGTTCTTCGCTGCCGGATGTGCCACGTCAATCTCTCGCAGAATCGCATTTCCGTCGTTGGTAAGCCTGTCCAGATCCAAGTCAGTGTCGAACATCGCATAGTTGTGGCGACGCACAAGATGCCCCCCATCGGATCCAGGATCATTTTCAGCATCGCTTTTGGGCCCAAACACGTCCGGATAACATCTGCAACTGTCTAAAAGACTTGAGCACCTCTAATACCAAGCAAATTCCATGAAAGAACACACTTTTGCTGCGGTAATATTAGAGATCTGAGCCTTTCGGCCAGACTGCCGCTCAGGCGCAGTATCTGGAGAAAATTGTCAATAAAGGCTTCAATAGAATCCCATATATGCATTATAGTCACTCATAACGAAAATCGGGGCTTGGGACATCGTGGTTGAGAGGAAATCTGGTGGTCTAGATTTTCGATGTCGCGGTTTAGGACGCGCTCTCAAGGTTACATAAGCGATCACTTTTTCCTTCTTACCGTCACCATCCCACTCTGTTACTCCTCTTGATGGTATAGGGACTTGCTGAGACTCCTTTTCTTTGTCATTCAGAAAATCTAGAAGTTAAAAAACCCAGCCGCAAATGGGTCAGACATGCGGCCCCCGAGGTTCGGAAACTGCACCAGTATGATCTCATAGCAAATTGCCTGTTTTCGAAACCTTGATACTGAGTGTGGTTGAATGATAGTCCTATTATTCTATGTGATGCCATTCTCGATCTAGTGAGGAAAATGCGAGCGAACCTTGATTGTGTTTGATCAGTTCGAGTCGAGCAGCATAATTCTATGGCTCCTTCCTCCATGCCCTATTCTTTGGTTCAGGATACTTCTCTTCAATCAATTTTTTTACAAGGCATCCATTTGAACCCTCTTATTTTGCTGGACTCCTCCAATTTACTTCCGCACGCGGCAGAATCATTAACCGCCCGTGTCTCACTACCTCCCTATCATCTTTGCAGTTCGTCGAAATCATGACCCCAAGATTCCTTCGCTTGGCAGCCTTGGCAGCGTCACATCCTGTCTCAGGAATCGATTATTTATACCACTTGATGGGCCGCTATTCAGCACGAGTGCGAGTATGGTTGTTCAGAAAGTACCCCCCACGCTAGGCGCCCTTTTGCTCGGAGGATTGTTCGCTACGTTGTAAGTGATCATATGATTTGAATCCGCGCAGCGCTGAATTTCAGCAGGTTATCTGGAATGATTGATGCGCAAGGCTTCATTTACTTTAAAATCTATCATAAAGAGGATACGTTACGGATGAAGGGTTCAGTGAGTGGAAATAAGTCCTTTGTCGTCTCCCTCACTGATCGTCTCTACAGGCTTCCTATATTTGGTACATTTTTCATCACCATGCATTCGCCACCGCTGTGAACATACCTCATTAAGGATTCTCAATACTATCCATACCGCGTTTATTTGGGTAACGCTATGGTTCTATCTCATCGACCACTTCGGTGAATTGGATACCGTAGATGTGACGCCGTGGTGAGTTCCTCCGGCACTAGTCGAACGAACTGCCCATTTATTCTTTATTTTCGAGGGCTCTTGGGGTATGATCCATCGGCCTTCGCTACGGCCCATTCATATTGAATTTCTTTTATTTCATAGCTTACAGTTCTCATTACTGTAGGTCTCCCTCTACTTTTCTTATCTCAGACTCTGACCATCCTCAGGCGATCATTAACTTCTCCGTCCACATGTGAGCTTCAACTTTATCCTAACTAACTATACGCTAATCTACCTTCTCTATCTCAAGGTTCTATGCGAACAGAATCTTGCTGTGTGAGTCACTTGCGCACGCTCTCCATCTCCGCGACTCATCTTCTTTAATACTTAGTGAGCCAAAGAAATTGGCTTGTAACACTCCCAATTGTGCGTACCTCTGTTCAGTGTTATGCCATGCTTTATCGCTTGCCATCACTGACATCACATTTCGCAGGTTATCCTATGTCTCGCTTGCCTAGGTGCGTCAAGTTCCCAAAGATACGCCAAAAGGGATCTGTCTAAACAAGTATATGTTCCCAGGTTTCAGTGCAGCCGCTGCAGGGTCCCTGTGAGAAATTATACCCAACCTCACTCCATGAAATCAATCTGACCAGATTTACCGCAACAGCCTCTATCTCCCGACCTACACTGCCTTCCACGTACACACTTGTGTAAGTCGCGCAAAAAGCCTCCCCATGCGCCTGTAGGATAATCGGAATATATATTCAAGTGGCTTTTCACTCTCGTCCTAGCGCTCCTCTCGGCCACCGATATCTTGATCACAACGTGCCTCATTTACCTTCTGTTCAACACCCGCACCCGAACTAGCAGGTGAGTTACCCTCCTCTTCGTTCGCGAGCAATCTGCCTGACCTCTGATGAAGTGCGGTGAACGACGTCGTAAACACGCTAATCCAAGATGTATTTAAGAACGGTCTCGTCAACTGGTGTGCTAGTTTCGATGTCTGTTTGTCTGACTCCATGTTGATGCTGCGCTAGTTTGGGTGCAATCAGCTCGATGATATGTGTACGTCTCGAGCCCTTGTCCCGTTCTTTTTACCAATACTGACATCATTTCTGACAGTGGATCGTGGTACCACAAACCCTCGTCTTCCTCACCATCTTCTATGTCATTGCGAAATGCACGTCCAATTCTAGTCTTGATCGGCTTGTTATAAACTCTAATGATACCATTCCAGTATACGCCAATTCTTTCTTCGCTATGTACATATCTACCTACCTTCTTTATTGATGAGATTAATCCATCTCCTCTAGGCTTAACGGTCGCGAGCATCTTCGCCGCCGCCGCACGGCGAGCATAGCGGAGCGCATACCCCCACCCTCACCCGTCCCCGTCCTCGATCCAACAAGGCCGAAATCGCACATCCTGGACGAAGCCGTTCGACCAACGCCGTCACACTCGTGCTCAGCACGTGCATTTTCGTCGTCGTCTTCACACGACAGCACTACGGTGAGCCAGCCGGGATTCACATGGATTCTGCTCATTGAAGTATTGACTCCTGGATACTTCAGTGCACTTCGTCCTCGACGGCGCCAGCATCGCCTGAGGAGCGCAATGCAGAGCTCAAGGTGTAAACATTTGATACCTTCCTCGACGAGAAAATAT